AAGTAAAACTACTCTGTTTTCTAAAAGATTTTCGTAGTTTCTAATTTCAGAAAATCTATCTTATTGCTTGGATCAGTATTGAATAAACATACCTACATAATGAAAGCACGATAGATCGTGCTGACTTATATAATCTATTACGTGCTTCTAAAAACTCCACTTAAATATATTATGAATATGCTATTTTTAGAATTTTTTTTTGTTTTGTTTCTGAACTTGAATGAAATAAATCCATATATAAACTCATTTATCATTTTTCTCAGAATATATTTTTCAATTAGAAAAATTAAAGTAATTTCTATAGTATTCGAAATATAAACAGTTTTTTTTTATTTGAAAGGTCTAAATGAAAGTAAACCTTTATCCAATCAGATCTTCTCTAGTTAATTTTTGTGTTGAAAAAGCAAGGTTGGGTCTAATGAAGTGATATGTTTTTTTGCTCATTCTAACATCGTATGTACTAAAATGATTATCAAAACTAAATGGAAGTGAATTTCAATGTTTAGTTCTGAGAAAACTGCGCAAAAATATTCATTTTAATTTGAAAACAAGCCAAGCTCTATTTTTTCTTGTAATGAAGTTAAAAAGATTCTGTTCAAACTCATAGATAGACTATAAATAAGTCATAAGTTCATTCTGATTTGATATATCAGACGGACGTTTTTCACTAGGTTTACTCATTTCTGAAAATTTTAGTCCAAATCGATCATGAGGAGACCTTTAAGGAACTTCTGCAATATGGAAGTAATAATTTCTAATATTTGTTTTGTTGTATACAATCGTATTTTTGACGAAATTATTTCAAATCTTATCTATTTAATTCGTTTTTTTTTCAAATCGCTGATAAATTTATAGAAAAACTCTTATCTTATTATATAAATCAATATTGTATTTATTAGTTGCCAACATTAAATATTTTACGATCAGATCAATCATTATTAACAACTAATCAATGGACACTTCTCACAAATTTATTTTATTGTTATAAAGAATCACAAATGTTACCGTTCATTCAACGTTTAATAGATACAGACAATGCTTCACAATTCACTTATGCCATTTATGAAGTACTTGTAGATGAATTCTTAGTATCTGTTTATGAAACAGCAGGTGCATATCTTCGTTCCAATGATGATCTTCGTTATTTAGCATTTGATGAACGTTCTATCATACTTCGTAATGCAGCTAATAGTGTATGTTGCATAGGTGGTTCATTCATAATGCAATATTGCCATTTATATGGTCTCAATTCTTTCCTAACAGCTATGAACATAAAGTATGGAACGCGTACAATGGATATTCATATTGAAGCAAGAAAATATATTGATTCAGATATTGTATTGATCAAACTATCAATTTCATTATTTGCTTTCTGTGAAAATACTTATTGTTATCATTCAAGTAACAAGGAAGACTTTATCAATTCTATTGAGATTTTCAGGATTCAAACCAAATATGCAGAAATAACATGGAAATATCTTCTTTATAGATATGGTTATCATGATGCAGTCAAACGATTTCTTAATATAGCTCTTTGGCTTACTTCTATGAATATTTTAGCATTTCATGCTCAAAGTTTAACAACACATCTTAATGATATTGGTTCAATTATTGAACAAACTGAAATGAACCTTCTATTAGATGATGTTGAAGAAATAATTGAAGCAAACCAGTAACAGTCATCTTTTTCAGATGTTTTATATCATTAATGTTTTGTCCGGCAGTCATGATCAAAATTAGTATAGAGAAAAAAATAATAAAGATATCTACAAACTACTTTAAAAAAAAGCAATCTAAAAGTATATCTATTTGAAATAAAACTTTTCATGTTATGTCACAGATCATCATACAAAACATTACAAAGAGTGAGATTCTGTTAATAATGAAAACAGCGAAGACATCGGAAGCTATTCTAAGAGCTTCCTCTAAAATTAATCTTGGGCGCAGTACATTCAAATTACATGAATTTTGTAGAATATGTTGCGACGGATGCGGAGAGGCTATGGTAAAGTTTTCAGCCCTATATCATGACGTTTTCAGGAGATATGCCCCAAACAAGGATCAAAAGGCGCCTTGAAAATACTCTTTCAAATAAAATAAAAAGCTGTTTGCTACAATGAAGCTTCTTCCACAATTCTAGGATGCAAGGTTGAAAACCTATAAAACGAGAAAAAACGAAAAAGACTTTTTAGCTTTTTCGAAAGCAGCCTATTTTTTTCGAATAGGCAATGAGAAAAGTCTTCAAAATTTTTTGAAAAAAAAAGAGATGTTCAGTAAAAATTCTTGTCGTTTGTGAGAGATCAGATCAGATACTATCTTTTTTCTGCAGTTTTCTTAATTTCGATCATTCTGACGGAAAGCTACTTTTTCGAAAGAAAACAACAAGGGTAACAAAAAACAAAAACTTATATTGATTATATTTTTTAAAAGAAAAAAAAGTTATTCCTCACACAGCGTAGAGTAGAAAAAAACTAATTCATACATATCACTAACTTTGCTACTCACATAGTATTCGAATTGGTGCGCTGCACAAGCCATTATACTAGAAATTTTGTATAAAATATCTACATATACATTAAAGACTTATGGGAACTAATTGGTCGACATATTCTCCCATCTAAACGCGATTTAACATGTTTCGATATTGTTAAAAAGACACTTCAACGCTACAACAATAAAGAAGAAGTTTCATTCATCTATAGAGATCTACAACATTCCTTTTTCTAGTCTCGCTGACACTTAGAATTTTTCTCTGATTCACAGTCATATAACTTAAAAAACTGTCAGAATTTTTAGTTCTTGAATACATGCAAAACCTATATGAATAATCTTCACTTAGTGTTTCTTCAAGAGTCAATGTGAATGTATCAATATCGAGAATTTTCACCAGTGAGACTATTAGTTTTACAACTCGTCCGGAGAGAAATATTTGCAAGATTAATCTTAACTTTTATATTTATTTTTCTGTTCTCGACAAGTATCAAAAGTGTTTCCTTAAATACAAAAAAACCACAACAACAAAACTGAAGAATTTATACTAATACATAGTACAGCAAGAACGAAGATAAGTACAAATGTAGCAATGACTAAACTGCTATAGAATAAAAAATGTTTTATATTGTGTTTCAAGTATTGAAAAACTTATACAAGTTATCAAAAATTCTAATATTTGAAAATAGAATTTCGATCAGTAAAAAAACATCTTTCAACGAGTTTATAAATAAAAATAATCGGTTTACAAACTCGCAATTAGAATAGAACAATAAATATGAACATGTATAGTCTGATTCTTGATAAAAAAAACTGACCGGAATCAAATTGAAACAATATATAGATTCAGATCTTGATAAAGTCTAAAATTACAATTTTGAAATTATTTGCTGATCCTTAAGATAAAGTCGTATTCCACTGAAAAAAACATTATTCAAGCATTCTCTACTTTCAATATATTTGGAATAAACAAAAAAACAAATGCTTATATTGAAATAATGACTATGTAGTATGTTTTCATAAAGTGAGGATTTTATATAAAAAAAAAAAAGAAGTTAATATGGTCATCGAAACCTAAATTCAAAAATATTAATCACTTTAAATCATTTCAATATTAAACACGAGATGAACTCAAGTTTTGTGTTATCTTTTATCTATGATGTATGAAAAAATGATTGTTATCTTTAACATACTTTTTTTGTTCATTCATGACAAGCATTTCATTTTTTGTATATTTTTTTGAAACTAAATTCCTTTACTTGATTACAATCAAAAGCTTTCATTACATTCATTATAAGAGAATATAGTCTTCCGGAATGTTTTCACAAAATTTCATAATCTGATTTGTTCTGGCCACCAACTTTATCTTTGAACATCATAAATATGCATCGTTGATCTACATAGTTCATCATATTTTCTCATGAATACAAGCGAATTTATTATTCTTTTAAACAATCGTGACCGATATGTGAATATAACTTTACAAATCTTATGTCTATTTTTTGTTCAAAAGCTGTGAGAGACTTTCTGAAAGATCTAAAAATGAAGAGTCAATAGGTTTTTGTATATCCTATACGTCCCTTTTTCGAATCTGACATAAATTTTCAAAATCAGTCATGTTGTAGAGCAGAAACTTCTCTACCACATATGATATTGACTAAAGCTGTAGTTTTGATCGAAGTGAGATTACAGGCATTTTCTCAAGAACTTCTTTCAACGTAGAAAGGTTGTTGATTTTTTGTAGAGTAGTTTCACATCGCTATAATTTAATATAAAAATAAAGTTTGCAACTTTTAGTTTTGAATCACAATAATCAAAATACAAAAATTTCTACTATTCTTGAACAAAAATTGAGCCAAAATTTCTAATCATTTTCTCAAAGAAAAAAAGCATTCTTACTAGTAGTTGTTGACAATACTTTACTTTCGAATGACCCGTTATACTATAAACTCATTGACATATCTCAATAGACATGCATAAGTTTTTTTCTTCTCAGAAGACTTCTGAATCATAGACAAACGAATGAAATGTATAATAATGGAGATGAAACACACAAACAACTCTTTTCAATATATATTCAAGCTATTCATAGCAATGCATACTAATTCGGTATTACTATTATCATAATTTATAATTTTTCTAAAGTAAAACTTCATATAGAAAGATAATATAAAAATAATTAATACAAATTATAACTGAACCCTTTAGAGAATATGAATAATAATTGAATTTTTTTGACAATAATCTTTACCTATTTTCTGTAGATGTCACCTTATGGTTATGAGGCATTTTTAATGAATGGAGTTGTCTAGTTAAAATTTGATTGTCTTTAACAGTGTCCTATAGAAATATTTGGAAGTATCTATGACTGATTTTCAATTCAATTGTTGCCATTTTTACTCTTCTGTTTCTTCATCTGTGCGCATGTATGCAAGGCTGAAATTAACATAGTATTTTGTAAGCGCTATGCCCTATTATTCCACCCACCGATCTTTTCTATTTTATCATCAATGGCAAATATAGAAGAGTTAATTGTATATTCAAATAGCCGAAATGGACTTGGAATTCGAATTTTAGGTGCTAAACGAGCTACAAATCGATCAGGTATTTATATAAGACAAATACTTGATGATGGATTAGCACAAAAAGAAGGACGATTAAAAGTAAATTTTGTACAAATAAAATTTTATTATAAATAAATAATTATATAAATATATTAGATTGGTGATCAAATACTTTCAATAAATGATGAACCATGTATTGGTATTAATCGTGAACATGCTGTTAATATTCTTCGTTCAGCAGCTGCTACAAATCAAGTTCGACTTCGTATTAAACATTTTTTTCCATCATCATCATCAATTGAATATCAAAAACTTTTACATGATGAAAAATCTACAGATGATGATGATGATGATGATGATAATCATCGATATCATAATATAGCTCAAAATCGAAATAATCATATTACAACAAATGAAGTTCGAATGAGAAAATCATCTCGAAGACATCGTCATCATAATAATCAACAACAACATCGTCATAGTGCATATAATTTTACATATGATAATAATAATAATAATGAACAACAATATGAAAATAATCAATTATTAAAAGGACTTGATGTTTCACATGATGCTCTTCAAGCATTACTTAATTCAAGATTTAAATTAATTGATCTTGTTGATTTAATTAAAAAAACTTATCCAAATTTATTTTCGAATGATCAAAAACGAGAATTACAATTTATTGAACAATTATCCGAAAATAATACTGGTAATATATATTATTTTTTACATAAACAAAATTAGATAGAATATCAATCAATTAGATTGTTTATTTAATTATATCAAGTTTATGCTATGTTATTCTTAAAATATTTGAGGCCGACAGAATTGAAAGGAAGTAGATGACTCACAAGTCTTATTAGAAGATTTTTTGCTAAAACTAATTATTCTTTGGAAATCAACGAGCAGAATAAAACAATAAAATCCTGGAATTTAGTTGAAGTAAAAAAGAAAATTTTTATAACACTGAAGGGTCACTCTCTTGACCTTTTTGCTTGGGTCATTCTTGAAAAAGCTAATTGATTTTGATGAAATTTAGAAAAAAAAAAAATAAGTATTGATACAAGCTTTTAATAATAAATACAAGTGAAAAGAATAGAAGCCTTATAGATATAAGTTGAATCGATAATAATAAATATCAAATATTTTAAAGAATATTTCAAAAGTTGATTTGTATGGCTTCATTAATAGTATCGTCAATTTATGTTTATTCAAATATAGATATTAAATTTCGTCAAAAGATAATTAATACTGAAGATGAGTCTTACTACATCAAATGGATCCTATCAGAGATGGACAAAATCGCACCGCGCCACTGCTCGCGCCTAGGCGCTACGCACATCTCTCTTTCTCTTTGCTCTACCAATCGGTTTCTCAAACTCCACCGAATACCGGGATGCTCTAAGCATGCGCTCATCGAAGCTCAGATTAGTGTAGCGTAGGCGTGAGCAACGGCGCGGGGAGGCGCGGTGCGACTTTGTCCATCTCTGGATCCTATTGAAACTTTAAAAAAAAATCTTCAAGGATTGATGTTCATCAATCTTTCTTGTTGATTGATGAACATTTTAATAAGTTTTTCAACAATCTACTATCATTATTTATCTGAGATCATCTTCAAAATTACATTTTGAAATTCCAACCTTGTGCAGATAAACTTCTCAAGAGAATCAATATATTATAAAAGTATCATTTTCTATGCTGAGAACTTCAAAAAAAAAATTAGTTCTATTGAGAATTTTATTTCCGTAAAATTTTGAAGATGATGTGAGATAAACGATAATATGTTCTTGAAAAACTATAGATCTGAATCTTATAAGATTATCTATAGTTTGAATAGAGTCCGTCTAACGAAATAAGACTCATCTCAAAAATGATTTATCATATGCTGAAATTTTATTCTGAATAACTTCAATGTCTAATATATATTCAGAAGTTCTAAATTTTCTAGGATGATTTTATAAACATTTTTTAAGATCTATTTAATTTGAAAATATATTTTAATATCATAAAGTCAATAAAACTATCATTCATTGTTAAATAGTGAATCATCGAAAGATATTGAACAGTCATTTATGAAATCCCGAATTTCGCTAATTGTCGAAAGTACAGTGGACTTTTGCCAGTTGGAAAAAGTTCGATGGACTTTTGCACTTTGTACTGCTTTCAATTAATCTACAAGTTACACTGGCATTTCCCATAGATGTTCTAGAATATCAAGAGTATAACATATCAAAATCTGTATATTGTATAAAATATTTTGTTTTGTTTTTTGATTGAATAATAGATGGTCGTATAACATTAAAAGATTTTGAACGTCAATCAAGTATTATTCTTGGAGAACGTATAAATCTTCTTGTACCATTTTATTCTTCATCAAATAATTCTTCAAATAAAAATGATAGTGAACTTATTGTTGAACTTCGTCATGAAATAGAAACATGTCGTGCTACAATTGATGAACTTGAAACAAAAATAATAACTTGTGAAAAATCTCAACGTTTAGCAAATGAAATTGAACTTGAATATGAAGATTTACTTAAATATTTATATGAACAATTACGTCAATATAAAATAAATGAAATAAATCAATTAAAACAAATTCGAACAAATGATCAATTAATACAAAAATTATTTAATTATTTATCTATTTATGTTAATAAACCAAATGATGAACATATGTTAGCTCAACTTAAATTTGAATATGAACAACAACAACAAAAAACTATTCAAAACAGTAATGATACATCAATTATATCAACTAATAAATATCGACAACAATTTTAATAATTCATCTATATTTTATTTCAGTATCATCAATTTGTTTTTGTTTTTGTTTTTGTTTTTTTTGCTCATTTTGTTTAATTTTCATCGTTTATGTTTTATAATTATATTACTTACATTTCAATTCAATATGAAATGAAATATTTAAAAAAAAAACCAAGAAAAGGAAAAATGATGAATAAAGATTTATTGGCTAAATTGAAAAAAAGGAAAATAAAACAAAATAAATTGTTAATGCACTTAGTACCATAAATGATATAAAGAAGAAAAACAAAAAACGATACCTTATCTCTTTAGCATACCTTTTATCGTTTGTTTTTGTCTTGCAATATCAACAATGTTTTTGTTTTATTTAATCGTTATTTTGTTTAATATTATTCAAATTGATTGTTCACTTGAAACATGTCGTCAAACATTTGGTTCGAATAAATATGATCTTAATCAATTAAATCATATAACACTTATTGGTGAAGATAAAACATTTCGATATGCTTTTAATCCTTGTGATTTAGTACCAATAGATAAATGTGGAAAAAATTCAGGTTCATTTGAACAAGGTATGACTGCATGTCAAGAAAGAATTTTAGGTACGAAGTTTGAATCACCTATGGGTTTTCTTGATGGATATGGAAAGTTACCTAATCTTGAATTTAGCGAAAATCCTCAAGGACCAGGAACTGGAATTGTCATGATTATGCGTAATGCGAAATGTAATGGTGTTGAACGTTTTGTTCATGTTACATTTATTTGTGATAAAAGTATTAAACAACCGACAACAATGAATGTAATTGAAGATCCAAAGTGTAAATTTACGATTACAGTACAAGCAGCTGAAGCTTGTCCACTTAAAGGAGGTATTTCAGGTGGAGCTATTTTTATTATTATCTTGATCGTTTTAATTATTATCTATTTTATTTGTGGAATTTTATATAATCGAGTTAAACAAAATCAAACAGGTTTAGAACTTATACCAAATCGAAGTTTTTGGTTACTTCTAGGTGAATTGTTTCTTACTGGTTGTAAATTTACTTGGAATTTTATTCATAATCTCGGTCAAGGAACATCGTCATCGAAAATGCCATATGAATCTGTATAGTTTTTTTTTTATTTTATTCATCAACTATAATAATAAATTAAAGAACTATATTTACTATGAAAATTCATGTCATTTTATTATTTAATATATATTATTTACCTTCTAATATAATTAGTTGTTGTATCATCGGTTATTATGCATTAGTTTTTTCTTATTTGAAAATTTGTTCAATCTTGATAATGTTTTAGATAGTATCTTTCGTTTTTTTTCTTTTTTTTTTTTTACTTGTAAACATAATGGTTTAAACGAATCATTTGCTTTGAAAAAGAAAACAAAATCTTTAAAAATGATTCTTTTTATGAAAGACCATAATAACTCTGCATACACACATCTTATGACGATAACAATAAAGATAAGATTGGTTGATACAAGATACAAACAACATATCATTTCTATGATGAATAATGTTTTTTTCTGCATTGAGTTCAAAAGAAAATTCTTAATATACGTCGGCTACTTGAAATCAATCTTGATTATTCCACTAGAATATAAATTATTTAAATGATTGAAGATTCAGAAGAGTTTATTAGACAGATGTTAGTACAATCACTGTAGGAGTAAAATGGGAAAGACACATTAGCTGTGATTGCTAAACACAAGAAGATTGTTTCATTTTATTTATTTTCGAATAGATTTCTTCACCATCTGTTTATTTAATCCTCTCAAAGTACAACAAGTAGTTCGTATATTATAAAAAGACGTTATTAAAATATAGTCTGTAATCGTAGATTAACAATGTTTGTCACGACATTTTCATAGTTACGTCTGTCACGCAGAGATGTCCATCGCGGCTGAAAATCTGCCGCTACCGCGCCGCGGCCTTAGAAAAAAAAGCTACCGCACCGCGGCCGCGCCGCGATGGTTTATAAAAAAATGTTGCCGCGACGCTGCCGCACCGCGATGACTTATAAAAGAAACGCTGCCGCGATGAATTATAAAATAAACGTGCCGCTGCCGCGCCGCCACCGCCATCGCGGCAGCGGCAGCGCCGCAATGGACATCTCTGCTGTCACGATCGATTGAAAAACTTTTAAATTTTAGCTCGTATGCATCAATATTCTGTTTAGGTTATATTTCATATGTATGAAGACTTGTAACATCTATTAATTAAACAAGTATTTCGAATAGATTATGTTGTTATAAAACTGTATTCATTTCTAAAAGTTATTATATGAAAATAGTTAAAACAATGATACACTAGTGTCATCTATTTTCTATATGATTAAACTAGTTTATTTTATTGAAAATAAAAATAAAAATAAATATTCTAATTTCTAAATTTATTTTTCTTTAATTATTCGATTAAAAAGAAAAATAAAATTCATTTATAAAGGTAAATACCATAGACTAAATAAAGCTTCATGGTTTGAGATCCAATCTGAATCTATAATTTGAATAATTATTTAACGTGATAATATTAAAAATGGTACTTCCAACATTACATTCTCATTATGCGACTAAACATTTAGCAACACCTCAACAAATAATGCAAAGAAAACAAGAAATTGAAGCTGAAAAAAAGTAACAAACAAATTCTATTACATATTCAATAGAATTAATTATTTCTTTTTTTTTTTGTTTAGAGCTCAATGGGCTCAAACAGCTAATTATTTCAAGGCACAAACTCGTCATAATTCTGTACACAGTCATTGGACATCACCTACTTCAGGTGTTATAAGGTAAAATAACATTGAATATTTCGTTATTATTTATCTATAATGAATAATCTATAGTCATGAAGCACATCGTGTTCAACAAGAAAAAGAAGAAAAATTAAATAATCTTGAACAACGTCGGAATCGTCTTGCTGCTATTTTAGAAGCTGAAAAAATTAAATTTCAGGTTTTGTAATTTGTTTTTGTTAAGAAAATAAAACAAAAAATATTCTCTTTTTTTTTTTAAATATTTAAGAATGAATTATCATCAATTCGTCAATCATCACGTGAATCAATTCCTGATATGAAAATACGTGCTGAATCTCTTCGTTCAGCTCGTGAAAAAGAACGTCAAGTTATTGCTAATGAAAAATTATATGAACATTGGATTACAAATGATCCAGATTTACGTTCAATTGAACAACAAAAATTAGAAAATTTACAACCTGAATATTGGTCAGAACAACTTAATGAAAGACGTTTAGTACAACAACAAGAAGATGAATTTAATTTAAAATATCAAGAAGAATTACGTCAACGTTTAAATGAACAAGATAAATTAGAACAAGAAGAAAAATATGAAAGAAAAAAAAGAATTGAAGAATTAAAAATTATTTTACAACAACAAATGGATGAACTTAAAGAAAAAGAAGAAGAGGTTTGAGTTTTATTTACATTTTATTTCTCAAAAAAACAAAACTTTTTTGAAAATTTTTCTTATAAATATAAATATTTTTCTATAAATACAAAAGAAATTAATCAAAATATTCATTTAATTTTTCAATAATCGTTTCAAAAATATTCAATTAAAATTACAATTTTCTATTCTTTTTTAATATCAACTCAATATTTTCTCAAAAACTCAATTAAGGATCAGCATAGGATATATTGAATGTCAATATAATCGTGTATGTTCCTACAATATCTTCTATATTTCATTGTTTGTATTTAATTAAGTTCAGATGAAGAAAATTGATGCTAATCATTCATTAATGGTAGAGTTCAACTTTCAGTTTACCCCCGAATCGATCCCATTTGATAATCTCTCAATTGAGTCCTTTCTTAATTCGATTCCCTCTCGTTTCAATCCCTTTTCAGTTCGTTCATGATTCATCAAATTAAAAGAAGATGAAATGTCTTCTGTAATTTTCATGAGTAGCCATTTAAAGAATTCATTCTCGAGTGGTCATTGATTGAATACAAAAGGCGAACAATAAGTAACATGTAATTGACAAGTAGACATCGTTATACACTTATACTTGATTAGAAGGTTTCAGATATCCTTAAAAAAAATTTTCAATTCATATTTGGAAAGAATACAAAGTTCTGATCGTAGTCGAATGTTTTCTAATTTCTGTACATAACAATGAAATATCCTCCTGTAAATGAATGAGAAATTCAAAAAGTGAATTCTAAATTATATGGATCCTTCTTGAGGATATTAAAATTGAAGATAATCATATATGGTATGCATTAATTTTATCCATATAGGAAGTTTTTTCTATTAACGGATTCGTTGGGTTTGAAATATATGCATTGTATAATTTCTTATTTTGATTTAGACTGAAATATTAAAACAAGAAGAAGAACGTCTTCTTCGTGAACAATGGGAATTAGATCAATATGAAGAAGAAAGAAAACAAATGGAAAAACGTTATATTCAACAAGATTATGGGTATAGGTTTTTTTTTATCAAATTTTCTTTCTATTTGTTTTTGTCTTGTTTAAAGTCGTCAACTTTTACGTCAACATAAAGCTAAATTACATAAACGAGCTAAAGAAATTCAAGAACAATTGGTTTGTTTAATTTATCCGATTTTCTTTTATTTAAAATACTTTATTCGATTTGTTTCTTTTTTTTTTTGTTATTAAATTGATAGGAATTAGATATGAAAATTCTTGCATCAATTGCTCAAACAGATGAAGAAACTCGTATAGAACAATCTGAACAACGAGAACAATTAAGACGTGATGCATTACATATGCTTAAACAATTTCAACAACAAATGAAATTAGAAAAAGAAAAAGAACAAGAACTTGATGCTATGTTTCAGTAAGTTTTTCTCGAAAAAAAAAATGATATTTTATTTTGTAAAATTCTTATATTTTTTTTTTTTTTGAAGAAGATAGCTAAAGTTTCACCATATTCTAATAAGACTATGACTCGTAGTTATACAGACAAATCTAACAAAAAGTGTTTTCGAGAGGCAAAAATATTATTTTTCTAAAATCAAATCTGTTTTCTATAGATA